TCTAATTAGCCCGAGACCCCTCCTCAAATAGCCCTGACATCCTGCCCAAAATACCCCGAGACCCCTCCCCAAATTAGCCCGAGACCCCTCCTCTAATTAGCCCGAGACCCCTCCTCTAATTAACCCCGACCCTCCTCTAATTAGCCCCGGGACCCTCCTCAAATAGCTCTGAGACCCCTCCCCAAATAGCCCCGAGATACTCCTGAAAGTAACCCCGAGATCCTGCCCAAATTACCCCGAGACCCCTCCCCTAATTAACCCCGACCCTCCTCTAATTAACCCCAGCGCCCCTCCTCTAATTAGCCCCCGGACCCTTCCCCGAATTACCCCAAGACTCCTCCCCAAATTTCTCCGAGACCCCTCCCCAAATAGCTCCGAAATCTTCCCCAAAATTACCTCGGGACCCTCCCAAAATAGCCCCGAGACCCCTCCCCAAATTACGCCGAGCCCCCCGGCAGCGGCTGGGACCCCTCCCCTGAGCCCCCCGCCCCATTTCCCGCAGGCGTGGGGCCGGCAGTGGGCTCTGGCCGTGTGGGGCTGGGCCCGGGGGGCTCCCATGGAATTGGGGCGCCCCCGATTTGCGGGGACCCCTCCCCAGCAGGCGCTGGCCCAGCCCCTGATGGTGCTCAAGGTGGGGCTGCAGCTCTGGGGGGACCCCCGGAGGGACCCCCAAGATCAGCCCGACCCCGAGGCCGAGGCCATGGCGGAGTGGGGGGCGCGGCACGTCCTGATGCACCTGCAGGTACCCCCAAAATCACCCCAAAATCGCCCCAAAATCACCCCAAAATCGCCCCAAAATCACCCCAAAATCAGCCCCGAGAGCCCAAAATCGCCCCAAAATCACCCCTGGGAGGCCAAAATTACCCCAAAATCATCCCTGGGACACCAAAATCACCCCAAAATCAACACTGAGAGCCCCGGATTGCCCAAAAAATCAACCCTGGGAGCCCAAAATCCCCCTGGGACCCCCAAATTCACCCCAAAATCCCCCCGGGACCCCCAAATTCGCCCCAAAATCCCTCTGGGACCCCCAAATTTGCCCCAAAATCCCCCCGGGACCCCCAAATTC